ATGGATGGATGGATGGATGGATGGATGGATGGATGGATGGATGGATGGATGGATGGATGGATGGATGGATGGATGGATGGTTACCACATCAAAATCTAAGATAGCTGCCACCAATCATTTGAGGAAACTAATCTTTCTAGTTTTTTTAATTGCTTACAAGTGCAGTTTCCTAAAATGATTGGGGTGGCCTAAGATTAAACTGTGGTGGTCAAGGCCACCACTGACCACCCCTTGGCTCTGCCATGGTGCTGGTGGATGAAATTGCTCCCTCAAGCAAAAATAAAGCCCTACTTCTCTTCTCCTCCACAGTGTAACTCCTCCCCATTTGAGTATCTTGCAGCAAAAACATTTAGGTTTACTTACATTCTCTGTTCAATTCCAGTCCAGAAAAACACTCGTCTGAAAAACTACAAACATTCACTACTCCAATCCCTCAGCGGAGGGAAACGTAGCCACACCGATTGTTTGAGAGAATATTTGTTCCAACAACATGAATATAAGCGACAGGCCGTTGCAACTAACGTGAGGAAGCACCTAAAAACACTTGGAGACGTCTGGAAGCGTCTTCTGAACACCGTTCACCAACTAATGACCAGCTGCTTTTATTCAGCCTGCAGAGAAGCACCACGAGGGTGTTGTCAGAGAAGGTGCAGGTTGTAAACCTCCATTGTCCCTGTGCTGAGTGGCTCTTCTTCTGGTCAGATGTGGCCTCTGCAGAGTTTGTTGCAAGATGAGTTCAAGCAGTTCACCCAGAATACACAGGAGCAGACTCAGAAACAAACATCAGGTTTTGTGCAAAGCCTCCAGCAAAACTTTACCTTTGTTTGCTGCCAATAAAACAATAATTGCACGTTTGTAAAAAACACATTCATCATTTGATCCATGCACTAATGACTATCCTTCTGGAGGCTAGCTTACAGTTCAGAACAGAGTTTTCAGGCATATAAAGAGATTCATGAACACAGAAGGATCATCGTTTTCTTCTGATAGCAGGTTTTTTGTGTGTTTTCTCTTCTTCCTCTATTGAGTTCAGCCCAGACGTGAACAGAAACCTCTTTTTACTGTTTCAGATCCTCCGTCCTGCATAGATTAGCCTACAAGTGTCTGAGCTGAGCGCTGTTTAAACAATGGCGTTTCTAACACTGTTCCCATCGCCTTGGAAACGCCATGGCAACCTGCGATCTGAGAGGGCACAGCGTGGCTCAATTAGCACCAGCTGTATGTCACAGCTCGCCTCTGCCAGCAGAGCGTCTCCACATTCTGTCTCTAATGCTTGAAGGGACACAAATGTGTGAAGTGTTGCGTCAGCGTTTGAGTCCGTTTGGCTTTTGGGGACGGACAGGTGAGCACATCAGGTGCAGGAGCGCTGCTGTAAAGGACATGTTAGGTGACAGGAGCGGTTATAATTCAGACGGGATCAGGTTTAACGTTCTAAATGTGTAGATGTTTCTAAATGACTAGCTCCATTCAGGTCTGGTCTTCTGTCGTGTTTTCCAGCGCGTAACTCGTTCCTCAGTTTTTGTTCTGTTTCAACAGTTCATGTGTCAAAACGTTCGGCTCATCCAGGACGTTCCTGCTGTGACTTTTGATGTTTGTTTGGTTTTTACTTTTTGAAATATTTAGCTTTGTCGGCCATGTTTTTCTCATTGAAAATGAACGGAGCTCTTCACATCCTTCCAACACGTTGAGCTGTTTAAAACCTTTTACTGCTCATTTCAGCTTTTTCAGCTCCATTTTGTTAATTAATTTTAGCTTTTTTTCTGCTCATTTGACTTTCTTTTTTGCTCATTTCAAACTTTTTGTAATCTGTTTAGCCTCTTTTTGCATATTTCAGCTGCTACATTTCTGCTCTGTTTAGCTTTTTTTAGCACCTTTCTGCTGATTTTCTGCTGCTTCCCACTTTTATTTTCCTGCTTTTAGTCAAACGTCTGCTGTTCAAATTCAGTTCACATTAACAGTTCAGCAATGAAACTTTTTCAGCTGGTTTCACCTTCTTCGGCTGCTTTAAGCTAAAATCATTCAACAGTAATCATTTTCACAGGAAGTGGCATTTCTCTAGTCTTCTGCCTGTCTTCTCTTTAGTGTTTCCCATTAGGGTCAGGTAACTTTTACCACACGCGACCATGTTTTTGCATGCATCTGTTAGCAAAATAGATTTTAATGAAGTTCCCAGAATGTAATAAATCGTTCATTCATTCATTAAATAAAGTGAAATGTATTGACTTTTTGAGTCAGCCCAATTCAAAATGGCTGCCACAGCTAATTGACATTAGCAAACACAAAACTGTCCGTAGTCTGGCTGAAATCTGTTGAGTTAGTAGCTGGGTCATCCTCAACACATCCTGAAAGACCTCCCACGAGGTCATGCTTACATCATGTATGTTTTGAGAGGAACTTGGGGTGTCTCAATACTAGGGTTTTCAGATCAAGTACATGTACATCAGTTTGGGTACTTACTGAGAAGTTAATTAAACATTAAACAATGACTTTATAAACGTTTGTTTTTCTGAAGAACACAACAAACTCTGCTGTCTTAACTTCAAGTATTTGTCTTAAAAGAACTCTAAACTATCAGCTTGGTTTTTTCCGTGGTTACTTGTAAAATGGAAGCGGGCATGATATTTCCACCTTAAAGTGGTGTGTGTTGACGGATCAGGGTGTTTCTCTGAGAACGAGTACTTGAGGCTGGTATCATGACTCTATTAATCCAAACGGGTTTAACTTTGTCATTTCTCAACGAAGGGTGATTTTCAGTTGAAACTCTGGTTTGATGGTGATTTCCTTCAAGGTCACCCTCAGTTTAGATGTGGTCACAAACTGAACTTTAAAACCTGACCCTGCGTGTCCCTGTTTTTCCAGGTATCGTATCAAAATCCTTTGAGTGTCGTCTGAAGGGCCAGGGGGCCGCCTTTGTGGAAACGGACTCCGTGGACTCCCCCGTGCACCAGAAGGGCTCGGCCGACTCCGTCCAGCAGGTCATCATCATCCAGGGTTACGGCAACAACGACGTGGCCATCGATCAGGCTTTGGAAGAGTCGGCCGCCGTCACCCTGCAGACTCTGGCCATGGCCGGCCAGGTGGCCGAGGTGCTGCACATCACCGAAGACGGACAGGTCATAGCCTCAGGTAGCGAGGTGGCCTCTACAGGGGCCCACCTGGCTGGAGGCACCACCCAGTATGTGGTTCTGGATTCAGGAGACGCCAGTAAGAAGCTGCAGGCCGTGGCCGGGGAAGAGATGGCGGTCACCGCCGCAGCGCAGAACCACGCCATTTCTGAGTCGTCCACCGCCTTGGACGCCCTGCTGAGCGCCGTCAGCGAAATGGGCCATCAGGACAAAATGCAAGAAGAAGAGGTGGCCGTGGTCCATGAAGTGCTGGCCCCCGAGACAGCTGAGGAGGACCCGGGCGCCGGCATGGAGGTGAAACAAGAGCAGGAAGAAGTGCACGTCATTGAGGAGTCCAGCCATGAAGACATGCAGGAAGTGCTGCAGCTCGCCGCCTCCCAGATGGTGAAGGAAGGTCTCACCCAGGTCATCGTGAACGACGAGGGCACCCACTACATCGTGACGGAGCTGGATGACTGCACCCTACAGGTGGAGGGAGCCGTGTACGGGGAGGGGGAGGAGCAGCAGGTGGAGCAGCCAGCAGCAGAGGAGATGGTGGTTTATCTGGACGGAGCGTCCCATAATATCGTCCTGGAGGGGTGAGGGACGGAGACACTGCCTGAGTGTCCTCTTCACGTTCCTCCGGAGGACTCGGTTCAGTTATTACTGCCGTTCTCAGAACTATGCAACGCTCAGGGTACACGTGGTTTGTTCAAGCGACTGTAAGAAGTTCTGGTGCTAATTTTACTCAAACTTGGAATTTACCAGGCCTGTATTAATCTCTCAGCTGTCCCGCTTCCTGAAGAACGTCTTTTTAAAACCTTCTGAGCTGACTGATCTTCAGTTTGACATTTTCTTTGACTTTTCTGTGTTTTGTCTTGAGATGTCTGAGTGTTGCTGGCGTACATTTAATTTTGACCGTGAGGAATCAGTACCTTGATTGATTTTCAAACTTTTCAACCCTCTTGAAATTTCCTTTTTTTTTCCTGTAACCAAACAACAAACAAGTTTTGCTTTTGAAAAGCATTTAAATATGAATGCAGCTTAATTTCTAACAATAAAGCTGAAGTCTTAATTTTTCCCAGTCGTATTTGCATTTTTTTTTTTGGTAGTATTTGGTATTTGACTAGATGGTGTCGGTTCAAACAATCGTCTTATTGCTCATCTGTAATTCTTCTGTTTTCTTCAGGATTTTAGAACAAAACTACATCAAACCCTGCAGCTGAATCAGGAGCAGACTGCATTTTGGTGACTTAACGTGACTTCAAGATGCAGCGCATCAGCAAAGACAAGTTCACAACAAGTCGTCTCAGATCTCTGAGTAAAAACATTCACTTATTTTATAAAATATACATTTGTAAAAGTTCTAAGGAAGACAGCAGGTTGTGCTAAATGCTCTCAGTCTCTCATCCTGAGTAGCACATTGGCGACAGTGGTAAGGAAAAACTCCCTTTTAACGGGAAGTAACCTCCAGAAGAACCAGAACCAATCAAATTGACTGACTTGAGTTTGAGAGGACAGGAAAGAGACACAGACAAACAGGAAGTGGCCCAGTTGTAGTAATGATTCAGTTGTAGTTCCTATGGTTCAGTTGTAGTTCCTATGGTTCACTTATAGTTTTTATGGTTCAGTTGTAGTTTCTAAGGTTCAGTTGTAGTTCCTATGGTTCAGTTGTAGTTTCTGTGGTTCAATTCTAGTTTCTATGATTCAGTTGTAGTTTCTATGGTTCAGTTGTAGTTCATATGGTTCAGTTGTAGTTCCTATGGTTCAGTTGTAGTTCCTATGGTTCAGTTGTAGTTTCTGTGGTTCAATTCTAGTTTCTATGATTCAGTTGTAGTTCCTATGGTTCAGTTGTAGTTCCTATGGTTCACTTATAGTTTTTATGATTCAGTTGTAGTTTCTAAGGTTCAGTTGTAGTTCATATGGTTCAGTTGTAGTTCCTATGGTTCAGTTGTAGTTTCTGTGGTTCAATTCTAGTTTATATGATTCAGTTGTAGTTTCTATGGTTCAGTTGTAGTTTCTATGGTT